GCACCGTGTTGTCCTCCGGGTCTTTAGGCTTGCATTTGTCATGCGTTCAATGTTCGGTGTTCAACGTCAGCCCCTACAGACCCTATTCTCCGTCGGCCCCAACCACAATAAATCATCATACCTGCTGGTCTGGGCGTTGAAGCGCAACCTGCGAGGCATGCCGTTGACCCTCACAGGAGCTGGCGCGGAAATACTTCTTCTATGCTGCATATCCCCCGAGTTCCGGGTAGATGCATACCAATCAGTTGCCCAAAGTTTGCCTCGGACGCACTCTTGTGACTCGTACTCGAACCGGCCGTGCCGAGAGACAAGGACGAGCTTAAGCTAGGCTATAAGCGGTCCTTGAACACTCTACCATGTGCTGCGAGTTGGCTTTTCCGGTCCTCGGTTCTGGACGGCGTGTCGTGTCGTGTGCAACGGTTTCGAGCCAGGAATACTTGGCGAAGCACTGCTTCAAGGTAAATGGAACGTGCAGTGATGTCAGCGTCACAACCATGATTCTGGCGGGGATGAACTCGAGTGGAGAGCCCATGATGGGATGACGAAAAGTGCCGGCGCGTGACCCCGCCTCGGTGCATCGCAGCGATAGGGCATACATATCTTCGCCAGAGTCAGGAGTGATTATGTCACCGATTTTGCCACCTTCCAATCGTCTCTCCGAAGCTGTGCTCCATCAAGACTAGAAAGTTTGCGGTTCGCGAGAGGGGAAGGGCTGAGGGCGAACGGGACGAGGGGTGAGGGTGACATCGACTTGTGATAGCGAGAACGATGGAGAAACTAGAGACTGCGCTGCTCGATGGCGTTTGCGGCTGAGGGAACGGCCGCGACCGCGACCGCTTCCGATCACCTGGGGCCCTTCGACGCCATAACTGCAAAACACGCATTTGCACGTACCTATAATCCTTACCTTCTCACAAATCCCACTTATTAATGCGAAGGGTCTTGGAAATTGGGCTTTATCGGGAATGTCTGGAAGGTAGGTCCAGTGGACGTCAAGACATTGCGAGATGAATGCAGGTTTAGAGGCATCGTTTTTTTTCCATCTGTTGTGGACTTTTTTTCTGATGGGGAAGGACGTATTCAGACGTTGGACGCACGTTAAAGGTTGTAGTGTGGTCGCCACATCGGCAGTGGCGGGCACGCGAAGAGATACAGAAGGAGAGAGAGTGCCACTGGATTCCTCAGCCTGAGTGCGGTAACTCGTCAGCATCGGGATTTTTCTACCGAGCTTGGTTTTCAAGTTGGATCAACATTTCGCCACCATTTGACTTGAGAAGATCGCAGGCCGTAGGGAATAAGGGCTCCAGAGAATTAGACTCAGGAATTCGGCAGGAACGGGACAGTATACCATGTCTTCCATCCCCAGGATTGAAATGGAGTCAAGAGTCTCGAAAGCTCAACAGTGAACTGAACTTGTCCATGTGATGACGGCAGCCACGATCTAGGCTTCCAGGATCAAGGTAAAAGATATCAACGACCCCAAAACGAATGATCAAAAGATGTGTTGCCCCCTGCAAGGCTCGAACTTGCGACCTCAGGATTGGTGTAGCCGTGCTACGTCATATTTCTATGAGACCTGCGCTCTAGCCAACTGAGCCAAGGAGGCGGTTGCAAAGGGATATTGCAAGATCACCGGGTCCGGAGGCCTCGATTTTGATTTTTACCCATCGCGGACTTTTTCGAGGAAAGGACGTATTTCAAATGCCAGAGGAGGGAGGGTGAACGCTACATCGGCGCACGCAGAAAAAATGGCAAAAAAGAAAGGATGACAGCGTTGCAGATTCCTCAACGTGATAGGGGTTACCCGTCAACATTTTGCCACCATTTACCTTTAGGCGATCGCAGGCCGTACGGAACAAAGCCTCCAGAGAAATTAGACTCGAGAATCCGGCAGGAATAAGTACGTCTGTATGTCATCATCTACTTTCACTTCGAAATGGAGTTAGAAAGTCTCACAAGCGCGACATTATTGATAACGGCAAATAGGCTTTCCAGAACAGAAACAAATCTTCTTGAGCATCAGTAAAAACAAAAGGCACTGCCCCCTGCAAGGCTCGAACTTGCGACCTCAGGATTAATGTAGCCATGCTACCTCACATTTCTATGAGACCTGCGCTCTAGCCAACTGAGCCAAGGAGGCGATATCTCCAGATGATTGTAGCCATACGCCACAGATACTTCCATTTCGTAGTAGGAAATCGTCTCCTTGACCCATATTGACCAAAAACTCTACACATGTTTTACATTCATTCAATAAGCTTCCCACTATCCCATCCTTGTAAGGTAGACGTCTTCTTCAGCCACGCCACAAGCTTATCTCTCTTCACCTGCGTCCCCTTGTCTTCCGACATGACCTTGACCTTCTGTCCATTCACAAACTCCCACTTTTGCTCCTTGACACGCACGTAGCCTGCAACCCACTCTTCAGGCGCAATGATGATGACGAAAGGCACCTCGTCTTTCTCGCTTGCTGCGAACTGGGCTTGGTGTTTCGGCTTATTCTTCGCCAAAAAGTCCGTCTGAAAGAGGGA